AGACCGTTTAATTAATTGCTTACGATATTGTATCACTCCATATTTGCTTAGTCAGTTCAGCTAAGTCAAATATTGCATCAGAGTGGTCAGCTGAAAATGCCCGGAAGATATTCTGAACCGAATGGAATATTAATCCTGTGGATGTGAACAAGGAATCGGAATCGTTGGGATTAATTTCGATGGAAAAGGGATATGTTGCAATCATACCAGTGTTGATTCAGACATTAAAAACTGACCGGAATGTTTTGCTGTGAGTAGCCATAGTATTCTGGACTTCTTGGAGCGTTGCACTCTCTGCCTGGATAGTGAGTAACATTCGGACTTGCGTCTACGTAGCCTGCACGGCACTTACATAGATAGCTGTAATCTCACTATGTTGATCTCATTAGGTTTAATGAACTGTGCATAAAAACCTTGCGATAATACGTTCGACAATTATTTGTGGTTGAGTAGCCATCCAAAACGGATTTTCTCCCTGAGAACGGTGGATAATTCCGTGAAGTTTCTTAATCGCATTCTGATAATGGCTTCGACTTTCAACTTATCAATCTCCCAACCCAAATGATCTTCAAATGATCTTGAACGAAATCATTTCACAGCATTTGATGATTTTGATCAAATCAAATTGTCCAATGCATATTAGCACACCAAAAGGTGGATATTCAATGAAACACACCACAAAAAAGCTCATTAAAATAAGAGTGCAAAACTACGAACCCATCCGGTTGGTCAATGCAATCCGCATTCGGCGAACAATCGTTTTCGCCATTTGCACATTCATTAATCACTTCAACGCACTGAATCAATTCACTTTTTTGATTACCCATCAATGATAAGCCGATTCAGAATATACAACAACGAAACATGCTAAGCCAAAAACATTGAACAGATCACGTTATTTGCATGAATCATTGACCATACTTTTGGCATTATTATTTTCATGCAAAAATCCACACTGCCTTTCATAAATGAGAAGATCCATCTGCGCCATTTTTCATATGTTCGACTGTTGCGGATCAAAATTAGACAATTAGTAATATGAACTGATTTATCTGTTTGGTGTTACGAGCTGTCTCGGTGATATTTAGCGCTGTGAAGTTTTTGTAATGATGCAAAAGATGCAATTTCGCGCATTCTCCGCTGCGCTCGGAATTGAATGAAAAATGGGAAGTAAATGAATTAATGGTAGTGAAAGTTTTTGTGGCCTTGAAGAACCGTTAAACAAACTATATGTGCTATAGTAAAACAAAATTTTATAGTTGAATTATGTTATTTGTGAATGCAAACCATATTGTAAATTTCCAGTGAGCAACTGATGAGATATGGCAAAAACTCAGTTTACAATAGACAATCTTTCAGGAAAAACTCTACGCCCAATTGAACTTTAAGTTTTATGCAGTGGAACGTAATTTAACACATAAATATGAACTCGGTTCCTTCGCAATTTCTCAGCCGAACTAGTTCTGAGCTTTTGTGAGAAATTGTGCGATTGGAAAACAAGGAAACCGTAATATAGTCAGGGAAAAAGGAATGCGCGATAGAGACTGCATGCGCTTCGGGTCGCTTACTCAGTATTCTTTTTCAATTTAGGCATATCATTCACTCGAATGGCTCTCTGAAGACAGATAGTAGTAGTTTATTGATGAGAGCGCGTTGAGCAAAGAAAGGCAAGCACCTACTTTTCTACCAGGTAATAGTGAATATCTTGCACTGATATCCGCAAATCCTGGTCTGCATACGCACGTGTAACTTTCGGCAGTATCTTGACATGCAGCATTCTCTGAGCAGTCCACATGATATTTTGCGGGATCCAAGCATTCGTTGATCTCAGCTTGGCAGATGCGTCCTGGCTTCCGTGTGATATCCTCGGAAACGTCCGCATATCCGATCAAGCACTCACACATGTAGCCTTCATCCTGTAATGGCGAACGCACTTCTAAATAATTCGCATTCTACTTCAACGAGTGGAAACTTTCGAAGTACAAACGAACTGCATTGGTTGAATGTCATGAAAATGGTGTGCAATCAACTAGGACAGTTATAATTCCCATGGAAATTTGCTCACTTCATGAATTCGAATCAATATTATGCATAGATGTAGAAACCTGATCAAGACATCTAGCGTTTTCATGGCAATCATTGAGACGTGGTTCAGCACATTCATCGATCAAAATGCATCGACCGTCCGGAAGTCGATTCACACCCGTTGGACATTCACATTTATAAGCACCGTCTTTGAATGTGCACACTTCACTTTTGTTCTGATCACACGATAGAGGATCATTCACTTTGCATGAACTTTCAACTGTGTCTAAAATTCATGAACTCACTTGTGCTTAACCGTCTAATCATTCTGATTATTTCAATTAGCATTCATTTGTTGAGTTAATATCAATATTCACTTCAGTGATATTGAATTGATTATCAACAATCGATGATGATAACAAGTTCGTTTTATCACTCGAAATTACTTTGGGACAAAGAAGTTCTTTACTGATCTTTTGAAGCAAAAGCAGTTTAATCCACTACACCACTGCTTCTGAATCTGCTCAGCTACGCATGAGAGCTAACTCTTCGAGCGTCAATGCTCTCTGATCTCATTCACAAAATTCTAATTCAGCATTTTAATGCAATCACATTAATACTATCAAATTATGTCACGATCACTTTCTGCGGAAACCTCCGAATATTCATTAGATGAAAAACGATTAGACAGTTTCACAACCAACCATATGAGCTAACGCCGTCATATGAATCACCTTGAGCAAGCACCGAATAAGCGCCGCAAATAACGGTCACTAAGAGTAACCGTATTTTGCCCGATGGCATTTGAGCTGAACCACTTCTGAAAAGAAATTTGATTTCAATTTCTTGACAAACGAATTGCAATCGATCGCATCGCAGCAATAACGCATAAATTGAAAATTTATCGCCTGAACTGTCGTTCATATCAACAGAAACAATATGAAATCCTCGTTCCTTTCTTCGACATTACTTTTATCGGTGTTCACGGCTTTATTACATAAAAAAATAGCGATATGCGGTATATTAGGAGTTCTTTCAGTTGACAGGTATAACCGCTCTTTATGTTATGACAGATAGAATGCACATTATCAGAGATCACTGGATCAATTCGCTTAGGTTCAACGATATTGGATTGAAGTAGTGGTATCACTAATTGCCTACTATCATTATGAAGTGAACGAGCGGTATGCCATCACTGGAATACGTTCGACAATGGAATATTCAGATAGGGTTAGTCGCTTCAGGATGAATGGTGATAGGTGGAGAAAACTGATAATCATGCTTATCATGAACCTAGACTCTCGACAGCTTTAACTTGTTTCTGCAAATTCCTTTCGAGAAGTGAATTTTGCAGTTATTTACTCATCCCTTATCTCATTACATTAACAATTTGCCATTTATTCTGTAATCACATTTTTTATCGACCTGCTCGCCTAGCCAGTGAGATAGCGGCAATTAATACTAAAACAATGCGATTGGAGATGCAATGTGGCCAACAACGTTACAAACGTTGGTCAATCCAGGTAATTTTTCATTTTTTTTGACTTTTCCAATTTATTTTGATCTAAAGAGATAGAAAATATATTTGAGACGATAGGAAGAGAATTGGCGTATTGGTTCGAATTTGATTTCGCTTTTAGCATTTGACGCGGTCGTAGCGCTGGAACTGTATATTAATTGAGTGGTGTTCATCTGGCGTGAAAAACTTCTCGTTAAGTCGACGCTTAAGGACACCTTTCACCGTTCGAAGTGATTAAAATTATTAATGGGATTGTTTTCGGCTTACAACACGAATGCATTCGAACAATATTAATTTGCAATATTGCAGTCATATACAGTGATGTAATTTAAATATTGTCTGAAGAAAGTGTTGACATGAGGAGAGTGAAGCGATCAATTCAACTTTTATAAGCATGTGCAAAATTTTAGCAGCTGAGATGAATTTTCGAAGAGAATTCACGGCGAAAATGGCAGTCGAAACCTGGAATTGGACGTTAAGTTTGATTAAGAGTCTTCAATAAATAAGATCGTTACTATTTGACTCATCATCACATCAACTTTTTATGAACGCATCAATATGATATTATACAAACCGGTCGATTTAAATGATTTGTCCTCAATCATATCTACTAACCCTCTCGTTTAGTCATTCATTTCTCAATCAATTCTCCTGTTTTTGATAGGAAAATTTAGAATAGCAGCACAGAACTTGTTTCGAAACGTTCCAGCGAGAACACATGCAATCGCTTTGCAGTGGAATTTCACTTATTCATTATAGCATCTTGTGCAGTTTGGCGAAAGTAAACAAAAAACAACAGAAAATATTATGATTCTTACAATTAGCATCAATAAATTTTCATGGAAGACTGAACATATTCGCACTGGTGAAATAGCTGCATCAGCGACAAGCAATCTTACCACCGCTTCAAGAAAGTCACCAAATACTAATGAAGGATAAAAGAGTCAAAATACGATATTCTCTTTTCACTGAATTCTTGTTCTTATTGGAACAAAGCTCAGTCAAACCTTGACAATGAACTTCTCATTATGACAACTCAAAGAGCACACTTCTATTCAGAACGCCCCCTTATCCTTTTATAGAACTGCTGTTGCGGGCAAAATTTACCAAGAACATCGTCCCCAACCCCTTCATAACCCTCAACCGATGAAGATTCACTGGTCAAAAACGAAAATATTCACGGTATGGACAGGAGTGATGAACGATGTACGGAGACGACAGGCTGGAACTTATGACCAGTTCAAAATAATTGTAAGGTTTGTATATGGCGGATTTAGGCTGCGAATCATCTGCGGCAATTTCAGCAACAATAAACGAAATCTTTTTTCCACTTCAAGTTTTTCGGCAGCACTCAGATTTGTAATCGAGAAATCATTTTCTTAATAACACCACAAAACTTCTTGAATTGACAAGGATGAGACATTCATTTCAGCGGTTGATCACGCTCTATCGATCAAGCATCAATCAAATCGTTGCTCAAAATATGAGGCGGTAAGAACAAACAAACACAAACACAAAAGCTCTCCTAAGAAATATCCTTTTTTCTCAATAAAAATTTTCCATATTCGATGAGTAATCCTTTCCAGAAACCGAAAGGAAAAAATCATTCCGTAAAAATTTAATAAATATAATGAGTAAAATACAATCTGCCACTGAAACAGTTCGGCTTGACGCACCAGTGAAAATGCATTAGCGCTGAAAATGGAGGAACTGGAAGGAACAGAAAAACAAAATAAACATCGCTGAACGAGTTTTCCGCACCAGCCGTAGCATATGTTTGGTTTGGTTTAGCTGCTGTGACATGGAGAGGACGTGCTTAAGACGTTCTTTTGTGGAAAACTTGTTTGAAATGGGAAATGAGGAGACAACAAACACAGCACAATTGGCCAGCAAACCAGGAAATTGTTTCAGATTCGGTTGACATTCCCATCAGTGGGTGACACTCTATTAGGTAATTCCGTTGAATCGTCTGATTAGTTTGCGCTGTCTATAGAAAGTTTCT